TATATTTTTATTTTTTTCTTCATATTCTGTAGGGACTTAAAGTTTAACATATCAATACTTAATGAAAAATACCTGTTCCTTGTCATGCCTAAGATGTTTGTTATTCAGACACATAGTGAGGTTAAGCTCAACTGTCTAGGTTGTAGGGTAATAACAATAAGCTTCTCTTCTGGAGGGTTAACAGCCTAAGTTTGCAGACCAAAACTTAGAGAAAAAGGAGGTCTGCATGGACAGCCAACATTTTGGCTCTAGCCTTTCAAGGTCAGTGAAGACTCAGGACATAGGAGAACTGTACTGTAGCATCATGTAACTCAGTTGTGTCCCACGTTTTCTAATTAAGGAGGTTATGGGGCCACAGAGGAAAGTGATCGATGGTGTAGAGTGTGCCTGGGGAGAGTCACATGGAGAGAAAACATTCTCTCAGGCTTTCACAGAGAGAGAGCACATTGGCCAAGCAATGGCCGTGACTCATCCACATGGCTGACACTGACAAAGGAACTACAAACTGCGGTACAGGGTTTCAGGATAAATCCTGAGGGCATTTGACTGACCTTATCAGAAACAAAAGCTACATTTTTTGTTATATAGGTCTTGATTTATCTTGAACCATCCAGCAGAAAAGTATAAAAATGAAATATAAAAAGTAAAGCCATCTTAATATGCTGAGCTATAAAAGACTCAAGTCAACAACTTCTGACATTGCCAGTCTTACAGAAAACCCACTACTATTATGGACTACTGGACTATATTGGAATATTTTGCCAAATTCATGCATCTATAATATTTATATGACAATGGAATACCCTTGCATATACAGCTACATTCTCTTAATTCAGTGAATTGAAAGATTTGTTCTAATAGTATTTGTAAACAGGATATCATGTCTGCATCTTGTACAATGAATAACCACTAAGACAACAATATGCAATGCATTAATTATTGAAACTGTCCTACTAATTGAATTTGAAACTGTCTCATTGCTATTTCTTTCTCAATAAAATTATTGAAAAAAATGTTGATAGTTTGACCTCTTCTCATAAATTGCAAATATTCCTAATATTATCTTGAATGGGGAATCATTTCCAGAAAGTTTCCTATTTACTTTTCCTACGTAAATCAGAAGAATTACTATTGATAGCAGCTATGACCTTATAAAATGAATTTCTTTAATAATAAGTCTTTAAATTGAAATTAGTCTTTGACTCTTGGGCTACAGAATGACTGTTGTATTACCAGACCTGAAAGTAATGTTGATCTTGTTAATATCCATCAGAGTTCTTTTGGATGACCTTAATGTATTTTCAGAAAGGGCTAATATTTTGATAGAAACCTTTATCTTTGAACAGTGGGCCTCAACCATGTGCTTAAAATATTTAGGAAACCATGTTGTAAACTAGTATACTATTATCCAGTCTTTACTTTTCCTTTATAAAGTATAGGAAGAGTGGTTTAGAATAATTCTTAAGGGCTGTAGGATTTTTGAAATGATAACTGATCTCAAACTTAAAATCAACAACAGAATTACCGCCTAGTGAAAAGTCAGCCTATCCTTTGAGGTTTTGAAGCTAGATAATGACTTCTCTCCTCTTTAGCTATAAAAGTCCTAGATGACATCTTTCAGTATAAGGCTGTTATATCCATCCTGAAAATCTGTTGTTTAGTGTAGTCAACTACATCAATTAATTTGCTAGCTTCTACATTTGTACTTGTTACTTCTTATACTGCTACTTTATATACATGGCTTCTTACCTTATACTTCTCGTACCATTCTCAGATAGCTGCAGTCTCTCTCTCTCTCTCTCTCTCTCTCT